TAAATATTTAAGCTCTGCAAATGCCTTGCCTTGTACATCTAACCACTGAAACTCCACTTCTTGCAATAACAGTTATAAAACTGGTCATATTTGCTATGAATTTGAATAAATGTGTAATCATCTAAAAAGTCTTTGTTCTGTGGACGATGCATTCCAACAATAGTTTCAGTTTTACTTTTATCAAATTTTATATTATGAGCAATGGGAATATAGTCCAGATTTATTTCTGTAAATTTGTTCAGAACGGGTTTTTTTATTACGCTTACAATCATCTCAGTTTCTTTAAAATTTTGCTGTTCTATTCTCTGATAAACTTCAAAAGTTGATGAAATATCAGATGTCAATATGTTAAAGTACACTTTAGCAAAGTAGGTAAAGAAAAGTGTTTTTTCAAAATATCCTTAGTCATATTCTTTCAACTGAACTAATTTGTTTGCTATTTGATTTTTCCACATTTACTACAGGATTAACCTGTTGGTTCTGCAACTTGTGCTATTGTATCCAGCTTTTTCATCTGTTTGAGTTCTTGGCTTTTAACATAAAGACGTGTCTTTCTACAAGCACAAATAACCTATGGATTTCATTTAGTCGACTAGTAACTTGTAAACAACCCCGTACTTGAAATGCAGTTCATTTCTAATATCATCTTCATACCTAAAAACTCATTTGTGACACAAATTGTTAGCTGTAAAGGCCAGTGGAATTTTTTTATCTCTTTATTTGCAAATAATCTCACATCTTCCCACATATTTAATTCCTGCCCAAAGTAAATAAGCAATCTTGCATTTGATTTTCTTCCAAAGATTTACTTTACAATTTAATTTACAGGAACAAGATCATATAAACATTTATAAACAAGACGTTGTGCATCTAAATAGTATCTCTTTTAAAGTTTATCACTTTATTCACATTCAACGAAACTAATCTATCCAAAACATTTGAAAAATGAAAGTTGTAGTTCCTGGATACAGTCGTCTTCCTAATAATCTTTTTTATAGTCCACAACATACAAATTTCTTTTATTTGCAACTTTTTACTCCTAGTTTTGCACTGAATGCTGTGTAGTATCTGTAAGGTGTTGGATAAGGAGCAGAGAGGCGAAGTTTCTACTCTGCCCTTAGCTACAAGGAGGATAGAGTACTATATATACTGACTTGAGTTCCTGATTTAAAAACCAGAATAGATACCTGACAAATAAATACAAATGATTAAGCTCCCACATTTTCTACAATCTTCTTCCATATTCCAAGCAAGCCTGAATCCTGCAGTAAATATCACAGTGGTGAAAGTATTCTTAGCTCCTGTTCTTAACAGTGACATTTGAAGTTATTTAGCTTTTAGTTTGTTTCACTAACTTAATATCTATAGCAGTGACAGCTAAGCTTTTCAGCCCCGAGTGCTGAAACTGGAGCGCGCACATGCGTGCCAGAGCGCCGGAACCTGGAAGAGAGCAGCTGGCTGGTGCGTGTGTGCGCGGCAGCCAGCTGCTCTTCCGGATTCTGTTGTGTGCATGCGCACTGGCCAGCTGGTCTCTTCCGGGTTCTGGTATGCAAATGCGCACTGTCCAGCTGTCCAGCACACATGCGCACAGCAGAACCCAGAAGAGTAGCTGGTGACGGCATGCATGCCTACAGAGAGGGCTCTGTGTGCCACCTCTGGCAGATGTGCCATAGGTTCGCCATCACGGATCTATAGTATTAAGTTGTTTTTGTATGGCCAAGAATATACTTAATAGATTTACTTTTTTTTGCGCAGAAATATCTATTGTTTGTTCGCTTGTTTTTCTTTCCAGAGTTAAGTTTCGCTCTCTGAGTAAGTTGCTTGTGCTTTATTATCCTGTTTCCACAAACAAAATTCAGAAATTTGTGCTAATAACTTTTCAAAGAAACACTCCAGGATTGATTTTTTTTCTTCCTCTTGATGAAACCACATGAAATATGTATGCATTCCATAAATAATCTCCTTTTTTAAAGTCAATAATGTGCTTCAAACGTAAGGATAAAAATTTGCAACTTTTGTTTACCCAATCCCTTGACAAACTGGAAGTGCTCAGTGGGTTTTTCCCCAGCAATACATAGAAATGTTTGAACTTTTCAGTCTTCTTATCTATTCTAACCACACCACACAAATCTTTGCTTTCATGTTTTCCAGTTTTCTGCAACACTTCAAATGCCAACTTACCTGGAGGCTCCAGCCAATCTAATGAGTGCAGTCTATCCCAACCATTTCTGTCTTTGTATTATGTTAAAAAGTCACCTCTGAGTAATACGAAAATATTTCTTTAAATTGGCAGCAACAACTTATTTAATAACATAGCCCTATTTATTTGTGCTATGAGAATTCTGCTGTTAGTGACACAAGTGTCATCAATTTGCTAAAATAATTTACACATTATGCTTAATATAACTCAAAAATAATGCAGTCGTTATGGAAGGGAGTGCTTCATGTAAGCACTTTGGAGAAGTTGGTCAAGGCAAGGCATCCCTAATGTGTAGGTTTCTGCTTTGAGTGAATCGGTTTAATACAATTCAACTTTGTCCCTTTAATTGTTTTTTACATAGTATATTTAAGCTGCAATCCAAGAAGATCAATTAGTGTGTTTATTTCATATAAATTGTTGGCTAGTCATCTGCAAATTACAATGTATTCTGCCCAATGCTAAAGAGGAACCAAAAGCATTTTTCAGTTTAACTGCTCTCACTTCTGGATTGTTTTAAAGAAATCATTGGCTGCTCCAATGTATAGAATGAGAAATAGAAGTGTCTAGTATTTAATGGGTCGAGAGATTTATGCTATATTGTTTGGCTTGCAAATAAATATTTAAAGTTTGTATATTTAAAAAGATTCATACAAAATAAAATCCACTCAAAGATGCTGATTTATATTAATAGAAAATATTTTTTAATTTATTTTCATATCCTACCTAGTATTTAAATCAATACTGGGACCATAAAAAGCTTGCTCCAGTACACCGGTCAGTTCTTCAGGGTGTGACAGAATAGGTAGATAATGGATGTCCTTCCTAATACTTTAGAATTAATTGGAACAAAGAACCACAGCAATGTTTGGAAGGATGAATTGCAACTTCTCCAATTATTAAAATATTACTCCTACATAACAATTGGAAATACTGTCTCTTTCAATATTTTTAATAATTTACATATTTGTATATGTAACTCAATAATGTATCTGTATGTTTTTATCACGTCTGAAGCTATAAAATTGTGTGTGTTAACATTTCATAAAAATCAACTTTCAAAGAATAATTCCTCTTCGAACATCTTCTAGCTTAACTATTGAAGCATCAAAAAAGTATGTCGTAAGAGTTAGAGTTGAAGATGGAAAAGATACAATTGTACTGTACTTAAAATTGGGAAGCAGGAAAAGGGAAAACATACCAACAGAAGAAGAATTGATAAAAAAAAGTCCTAGAACGTGCTGAGATGAACAAATTAACAAAAGAGCTCAAAGAAAAGGAAGATACGGAATATTATATAATCTGGAATAAATGGTATAAGTGGCTAGAGACTAGAAATAATGGATAATAAAAATAGGGGTGAATTTGAAAATGGAAAGAATGAATATGATAATGTATAGAATGTATAAAATCAATATGATTGTTAAGAAGTATAATGTAATTAAAAGAGAAAGGGACAAGAAGAAAATGAAATAGTATAAAGGGAATCGGGGGAGAATGTAAATATTAGAAGATGACCATCACGAAGTAGCTGTAAAGAGAGAGTATATATATATATATGTTTTGTGCTTGGTGTTTGTTGTATTGTGTTATAATAAATTGGGAAACAAATTCATTTACAGGTAGCCCTTAAACTTACAATCATAATTGAAACAGGAATTTCAGTCACCAACTGATGTAGTTGTTAAATGGGTCAAAAACACGATCAGATCAAATTTTATTACCATTTTTTACTATAGTCATTAAGTGAATGATCTGGTTAAGTGAATCCAGGTTCCCCAATTGACTTTGCTTGTAGGAGGCTGGTTGGAAAGCTTCCAAATTCAATAATGTGTTCACTTGAGACTGCACCCATTGTAAATGCAAGTCAACTGCCAAACACCCAAATTGCAATCGCATGACCCAAGGGGATAGTACAGTGGTTGTAAGCTTAGAATGGGTCATAAGTCACTTTTCCAGGATCACTGTAACTTCAAGTGAAGTTTGCATGAAATATCATTAGTTTTTTCCAGATAATATTCTTGTACTCACAGTCTAGAAACTCTTACTTGTCTGGATAAGAATGTTCTGAAGAAAAATTAAGTCTGCTTATATGGGAAAATATTGCTTAAATTAGCAAGCACTAAGTTGAAAACAGAGCTCAGAACGAGAAAGCATACTATCATTTCAATTAACTAATATAAAACAAAATCTCACAATTATGCTGAAATCATGCAGCAATATGGAAGTATCTGCTATCTGATGGAAATCTTACCATATTTCTTGTAATTTTGTTGATCCTCAAGAATGAAGTATTTGCTAATTATTCTTCTAGTTGTACAAAGCATTTTCTTTGGATATTAATAGCAATAGCATTTAGACTTTTATACCACTTCATACTGCTTTACAGCCCTCTCTAAGCGGTTTATAGAGTCAGCATATTGCCCCCAACAATCTGGACCCTCATTTTACCCACCTCAGAAGGATGGAAGGCTGAGTCAACCTTGAGCCGGTGACACTCAAACTGTCAAACTGCTGGCAGCCGGTGGTCAGCAGAAGTAGCCTGCAGTACTGCATTCTAACTACCGCGTCACCACGGCACTTAAGGTTGTGAATTAATCCCTGGCATCTCCAGTTAAAAGTATTTTTCAGAATACTCTATTCCAGATCGTGTATAACTGCTTTCAGCAAGGATGCTCAGATTAATTAGATGCACATCATTTTCATTTGATGGAAAAGCAATGCATGTATTTGTCCTGGAGTTCTTTGGCATCCTGTGTTTTCATTTAAATAGGCTTCTGACTTGTCTCTCTGTGTCTTCTAGAAATTCCGGGTCGATATGCCAGGATCGAGCAACACATTTATTCCTACTCTCAACGCAATAACCACCAGCCAAGACCTACAGTGGATGGTTCAGCCCACCGTGATAACCTCCATGCCAAGTGCCTACTCTCGCTCGCATCCCTACAGCCACGCATTGCCCAACCTGTCTTCAGTTACTGGACACACAGCCCTACAAAGGCCTGGTGTTATTAAAACCATTGGGACCACTGTGGGCAGGAGGAGAAGAGATGAGCAGGTAGCTCCGCTATTTAAAACAACTAACGGAATGGATTTGATATTGAATGTAACATCTTAAGCCTGTACTTCAAAGTTGGTGGCAACTGACAATAGATTTATGCATTACCTGAATTAGCTTGAAGGAATACTGACTTCAGTATAAGCCATAGAATCTTGAATAACAAAGCTGGAAAGATTTGTAGAGTTAAGGTAGAAAGTTGACACCAATCAGGACTGACAGCTTTCAGCAAGCTAAATTATTAGCCCAATCTGATGTGATACCCCTGCTTAAGTTTTCATTTGTATCAATGTTTTAATAGTGTCTCCTTCAGTGATAGTTTCACTAGAACATGTGGATTCCAAAAGCATTGGAAAGGTTCACTCTCTCATTTTCATTGCAACTAAATTGTTGGTTGTAACTCATGTGTAAGGCTTAAGATAATACAAAATGCCATTCTTTGTTGTCTGGTGGACATCTATGCAGTAACTTCTCAAATAAAGGGAATCCAAGAATCTTGTATTGCTGAATAATTATCAGGAATTCTGAGCAAAATGTAAATCGCTAAATAGATTACTAAAGCCAGGCTTATTGGTGCATGTCAACATTCAGCCAATATTGTTGTTGTTTATTTTGAATTTTTATTTTATTTTATACACAAACAAACATTTAATACATCAGTCATCCCTCCCATGCGACATCTCAGTGTTTTCTCCGTGACTTCATCTTCTTTTTGTTGTTTCTTCTGTCTTCATTTTCACCAAATCTATTATAACATTTCTCCAAAAGTACAATATTCTAATTATACCATTTTTTTACATAGCTATTAATTTACTCATCTGTATCTCTTTTCTAACCAATGGTAAAATTGATCCCATATCTTCACCCAATATTGTTAAATGTTATTGGATTAGTATTTAACTTTTTAAAAACTTTTTGTATTTGGAGATTTACATAACTACGGTAAGAACCAAAGATCTAGGGAGATGGAAATATAATATGAGGTTGCTAGTTAAGGCAGCAGCCCTGTATTTCTCTCTAATGGGTAGCTCTGTCCTAAGAACATAAGGACTGTTCCCCTGGAAATGCCCAAAGCATGCCAAACAGTCCTTCCCACAGTAGCCAACTGTATTCCTCTGGATAATCCATAAGAGGGCAAAAGGTAATAATAATCTCCTGCTCTTCCTGAGCAACTAATTTAGAGATAAATATATATCTGAATTTGAAGGTAACACATTACTCATTATACTATGGCATAATGCGGTTTCTATGCCTCTGGTTTAGTGTGTTGTGCAAACCCACCCATTATGGCATAAGGATATGTACAGAAACCAGGCCACAATGGCAAATTGAAACAATGTTTAAAATAAGGCCAGGCTTAGCACGATGGGTGAGTGCTGTCCTAACTGCTACAGCTAGTCATTATCGAGAGCCAATGGGGTGCAGCGACGAAGTTGTTGGACTAGACGTCAGGCAATTCATATTCTAGTCAACCCTCAGCCACAGAAACTTATGTACTTACTTTGAGCCAGTTGCTCCCTCTCAGCCCAGCCTATCTCATAAACAGTCTGTAGTAGGGAAAATAGGAGAAAACACTGTGTCACCTTGAGCTCCTGAATGAAAAGTAAGATAGAAATCAAATAAACAATCAGTGGTGTTTTCTTTCATTGGTAGAGGCCCATTTTAAAGCCATTAAGGCTCAGGATTAGTGCGATTTCTTTTGATTATTTATTTATTTATTTATTTATTTATTTATTTATTTATTTATTTACATAATTATTCACATAATTCTCAGTACAGTTGATGGCTATGAATGCTACTGTTCAAAGAATCTGGAACACAAGTAGGTGGGTGCAGTGTCGCAATCAAAGCTCCGCCCCTTTGATTGCAACAGTGCATCCATTTTCATATCTTGATTTCCCCTCTCACCTCCGCTGATCTGCAATGGATCTGGCTCAGGGGTGGGTTCTACTTACCTTTACTACCGGTTCGCTACGGGATCACACATGCTTGCTTCGCGCGCGCGTGCCTTGCTTCTGCACATGCGCAGATCGCTGATGATGACATCCGGGGTAGTGGGCGGGGCCTCCCACCAGTTTACTACTGGTTCTTGCAAACCAGTCCGAACTGGGGGCGACCCACCACTGATCTGGCTGGACCTTACCTTGGCTATTCAGGAATAAGGAGAAGGATCAGAGAGTTAACAATGTAGCTGAGAATAGGATAAAACCCAGTCGCTGGGCATGGGTGCCATTCAACTATTTTGCATTGGGGTCATGTTTCTAATTTCTAGTTTGTCGTTAGATTCAAGAAAGAAGTTGATTAGAATTAGATACTTGACTAGAATAAGAAAACCTTTGGGTGGCTTAATTCCTTTTTCATTGTAGCAGATGGTTAACTATAGTTAGGATACTGAAGTGGTTTTGAGATAACTGTTATCTCTGCCACATGTGCAGGTGGGAGGAGAGGGCAGAGAAGTTACTAGAAATCTGAGTTTATCTACAGTCCCCCCCAAAAAGCATTGATTCTCCTCTCCAGGCTGTGTGTGGGCATAATGAAACACACTACACACCCTCCATGACATTTATCTCCTATTGCTTAAAGGCTGCCTGATGATGCAGGAAATGTAGGGTCTTATCTTAAAAAGTCAGAGGTAGGAGAGGAAAGAATGGAAAGGCAGCCCTTTTGATTTGATTAGGGTTATTCCAGTTTGTTCAGCCCCCTGGACCTTGGCTTCTGACCTTCCAGTTAATGACTGTTGTCCCAGGAGAAGAAGCACACAGATTTTTTTCCTAAGAAAGAAAAACTTGCAACATCTTCCTATACTCTTACCTCACAAACCACCCACATTGCGAAACTACCGAGAGACTTCTATCTTTGCATTCAGCCTTAACTGCAGATTCATTGTTTTCTTGCCCAATCTTCCTGTGGTTTCCCCACTCCTGTGCTCTTCCCCCACCTTGCTATCACTTTTTCTTTCTCCCCAGTGGCTCCAGTGCTGTATTATATCTTGATTTGAGAAAGAGTGTTTTCTCAGAGCCCCTGGATCCCTATGAAGGAGCCTTAGTTCTGACACCCAGAATTGCATTGTTCAGCTAGTAACATGATAGCTTTTGAAGTAACTGGTTTATCTTCACCAGTCTTCAGGCCCTAATTGCTATCACCTTCCAGACTAGTATAGTGTTTGAGGTTAAGAAGTTGGACAAGAACTGGGGGAGATCCAGGTTCAAGTTCACTTTGAGTCATGGAAGCTCACTGGGTGACTTTGGGCCACTCACACATTCTCCACTCAAATCACATTACAAAGTGGTTATTGTGGAAAAAATGGAGGGAGGATGGGTTGTCAATAGATTTGCCTTGAGCTCCTGAAGGGAAAGCAGAATATAAATCAGTTGAACAATACATGAAAAGTGAAAATTAAACCATGGGTTCATCAGTTGAATCATATTTCTCATTGATTCATCCCTCAAACTACCATCTTGAACTAATGTTTTGTTCATTTGCTTATCTACAGTTATCACCTGAAGAAGAAGAGAAGAGAAGAATTAGAAGAGAAAGGAACAAACTAGCAGCAGCAAAATGCCGTAACAGGCGCCGAGAGCTGACTGAGAAACTCCAGGCAGTATGTATTTTGCACAAATCTCCTCCTTTCTGGTTATGTCCTTTGTTTTTTGTAAGATAAAATGAAGAGTTGTTGAATTGAGCTCAACACACAGTGACTTCATGGACAAACGGTATCATTTTCTTGAAAACAATATTGATGTAGTTTACCACTGATGTCCATTCTAACCTATAGTCTTGGAATTTCTGAATAGCCTCCTGCCCAATTGCTAAAATAGGCCTGCCTCTGCACATGAGGCTGGATAACTTTGTAAATAGGGCATATAATATCCTGATTTTTTGTGACTACGTGATACAAGATGAACTAACACGGTGATAGCGAATCTATGGCATGCGTGCCACAGGTGGCACGCGGAACCATATCTGTGGGCATGTGAGCGTTGTCCTAGCTCAGCATGGATGCGTGCACTGGCCAGCTGATTTTTGGGCCTTCTGGAAGTTGGGAAATGAACCGTTTCTGGCCTCTGAAGGGTGGAGAAGGCTGTTTTTGCCCTCCCCAGGCTCCAAGAAAGCCTCTTAGAGCCTAGAGAGAGTGAAAAATGGGCCTTCTGGTCCCACTGAAAGTCGGGAAACGGGCCGTTTCCGGCCTCTGGGGGGTGGGAAAGGCCGTTTTCACACTTCCTAGGCTCTTAGAAAGCCTCTGGAGCCCGGGGAGGGCAAAAACAGGCCTACTGGGCCCACTGGTAAGCTTTTTGCCATCACATACCAAAAGCGGTAGGAACGTGAAGGGGTCGCATGCACATGCACGGGTGGGGCATTGAATTATGGGTGTGGGCACACGCATGCGCACAACCTCCCCGCGCTCCCCCCGCTTTTGGCACGCAATGGCAAAAAGGTTAGCCATCGCTGATCTAACATTTTATTATTTTTGTTTGGTATCATGACATTTCTAAAACTCTAAAGGCTTGCTGAATCACTGCTAAAGTTGAGAGCTGCCCCATGGAGATTCTTGCGATGGTTGGGAGGTTTTTGGCACATGGCGGAAATTTGGGGTGAAAAGAAAACTTTATTACAGAGCTAAATGGTTCTTCAGAAGGTACATATCCGATGCCTGCATTATGGAATAGGGAAAGTGCTGGGAATTGGTTAACAAAAGGATAAGAATAAAGTAATAAAGCTGAATATGTATGAATAGTGATCTTACCCACTTTTCCTCATTCTGCTTATATCAGATAATCATACAAATATGTTGGAGTAAACACTTAAAAATGTTAAAAAATGACCTAAGATTTTTTTTTTAAAAAAAGCAAATGCCTATAGAGTATTTCTTTCTTCATGACCAGCAAAAGAACTACAATTATCTCAAACCTGTTTTGCATACATATCTTTTTGGAGATCATATTTTTGTTGCAAGAATGCATTTATACTCCGTTACAGGCAAATTGTGTTGCACCTTTACTTGTAAGGCAAATGAGAGCATTAATCTTGCAATCATTCCAGTTTTTTACCTATTAAATTGATTCAAATTTATCAAAACAGCCAGTAGGTGTACATGGACAACATCCTGTCTTTGATAGATTCTTATGGTGACAGGTACTTAATTGCAAATAAACGAAGTAAATTTTGGGGAGGAGCTTAACTTTTGAATATGAATATCAGTGTAGTAAATTTTTGTCAGAAAATGTTTTGTGTTTTGGGTGTTTCAAACCTGCTTTCAGATCTCTATCTAGCCTTTAAATGGCCAGCCACCAGTCCTTAGACAAGTAATAGAATCACTCAGAGGCCCTAGTCCAGTGATGGCTAACCTTTTTGCCATTGCGTGCCAAAAACAGGGGGAACGTGGGGGGATCACCCGCGTGCGTGTCCACACCCATGATTCAATGCGCCCCGCCCCCCGCTTATGCACACACAACCCCCCCTCTTTTGGCCCAGTGGGCCCATTAGGCCCGTTTTGCACCCTCCCCAGGCTCCAGAGCCATTCTAGGAGCCTGGGGAGGGCGAAAATGGCCTCCCCCCTGGAGGCCCTCCAGAGACCGAAAACAGCCTGTTTCCTGATTTCCGGTGGGCCCAGAAGGCCCAAAAATCAGCTGGCGAGCATGCGCATGCATGTCGGAGCTGCGCTAGGGAAACGTTTGCGTGCCTACCGATATGACTCCATGTGCCACCTGTGGTTCGCCATCACGGACCTAGTCCATCCCCCTTACTGCTGCCAATACGTATTCTGCTACAATTGCTAAAGTGAAGTAAAGCCTGTTTATCTTGAAATCCCTTCTTGGAATGCTGGTTGCTGTTCTTCTTGCTGACCATCTCTTTATCTTGGATCTACAGGAAACAGAGGAGCTGGAGGAGGAGAAATCAGTGCTGCAAAAGGAGATTGCTGATCTAGAGAAAGAGAAAGAGAGGCTGAAATTCATGTTAATGGCTCATAGCCCCATGTGCAAGATCAGCCCCGAGGGGCATCGAACCCCTCCACCTCATAGCCTCCAGGCCCTGAGGACTGGAATGAGTGGTCCTGTGGTGGTGAAGCAAGAGCCTGTGGAGGAAGAGATCCCCTCTTCCTCTTCAGATCCTGAAAAAGGGCAGAGATCTGTCATTAAGCCCATCAGCATTGTTGGGGGGTTTTATGGAGAAGAGCCACTCAACACACCTATTGTGGTGACTTCGACTCCTGCTGTTACCCCTGGAACATCCAACTTGGTCTTCACCTATCCCAGCGTGCTAGACCAGGATTCACCACTCTCTCCATCAGAATCCTGTTCCAAAGCTCACCGGAGGAGCAGCAGCAGTGGGGATCAGTCATCTGATTCCTTGAACTCTCCAACTCTACTGGCGCTGTAACCCTTTAGCCACCACTCCACCCAGTTACTGTTGGGGGGAAAAGCCCCACCTCAAGATCAGAGACAGCACAATGGCATTCGAGCACAAGGCCAACAAGAGCCAGGAAAGGAAATGTTGTTGCTCCAGATATTTCCTTAGACAGGAAGACTAGAACAAATGAAAGCTATATCAGTCTGGAGTTGGTAAGCAGCAGTCACAATCCCAAGACCCAACGGTGAGGGGTTTTCCCTCATTCACCAGTTACTGCAGTGGATGTGACCATCCATAAATTGCTAGCCGTTTTCCTGTTAGGCTGATGAATGGACTGTCTGACCTGGCTCCTTCTCCTGGACTAAGTAGTACATTCCAGTTAGTTGATCTCATTTGGGCCTTAACATTTTCTTGATTTTTGTTGGATACCATGACATTTCGAAAACTGTAAAGGCTTGCTGAACCACTGCTGATATTGAGACCTGCCTCCTGGGAATGTTTGCCATATTGGGTGGCTTTTGGCACATGGTGGAAGTTTTGGGGGGAAAAGGGAAATTTATTACAGGTCCAAATGGTTCTTCAAAAGTTACACATCCAGTGTCTTCATTAGGGAATGGGGAAAGTGATGGGGAAACTGATTAACAAAAAGAGAAGAGTTTCCGTGAAGACAATAGAGAACAGTGCACTGTTTGTGTCTACAAAGGCTGTATCTGCAACATACCTTCGTCAGTGGGCCAGGAGTGGTGCCAAGAGGGCTGGGGAAATGCCAGAGTGGGTTTCCACTAAGCCTTTGTTTCTGGCATGATGTCTTCTGTAATTAGTGTTTGTCAAATCTGTTGCAGGACCCTGTGTTTTCTTTCCTTTTGGCTGCCAGCCAACCACTTTGGGTGTGATGCAGCTTCCTCTGAAGTATGCCCGAATCACATGCTGGTGCTGTTTTTCAAACAAAGCTACCAGCTTCCAGGTTGCGGACGGTTGCCTTTGCCCAGTGCTGCCATTCTTCTTGCGGCTGATCAGGAAAGGGGATTAATTTGAGGGAGAATGTGCAAGAAGCTCCCTTGAAGAAATTTCCCCCTTTGGCTAAATTTTGATCAGAGGGACCTGGCCAGGATTATGCACATTGCCATCTGATGGTGTCAGGCCAAATCAGTCCTTTTTCTGGTCCTAGAGATCACTAAAGAAAAATGGATTCTGCACTTTGCTTCCCGCTGCACTTGGTTTCCAACTCTTAACTAAATATGGCTGATAAAAACAAAATCTGTGCTCACTACTGAAAAAGGCAGCATGTTTCACTTATGTACATCCCCTATAGTGCCAAGCGTTGATGCAACTGTACTTAAAGAATTTGCAGATTTTAGCAGGGATACCCACAGATAAATTGGAGAGAGGTTAGTTATATCTTCATCTGGAAGTAGACAGTTTTATTCTAAAACTTGTTCTTTACAAAATACACAATATAGCTCAAGTTAACGGTGAGCATATTAATGACTAGGTCTTTTATGTGATCTGTGGTGAGCAAGGCAAGGAAGCTGATAGATTTTTTTACCCCATTGTGCTCTTCAGAGATCAGCTTCTTGTGTTTGGGCGGGATCTTCTTCAAGCCATTTTAACTCCTGCGGTGAGCATCTTTGCCTCTTCAAGCTTTGCCTTAACAGCTAGGAAACTGCCGTCTTGATTCAAAGTTGATTTTCGTTGATATCAGTGATCACATTCCTGTTTATTTTTAATGCGTCTGGATCACAGCCATAGTTAGGAATATAATGCTAGGCTATTTGATCAGAGTTTCTAGTTTAATGAAGTTCAGTGACCTAACTGAATTCTAGGGAATTTGAGTACTGTAAAGGTATTGTTTGATTCAAGTGGAGCTCAGTTCTTGGTAATTTCATGGACATGCATATGTCATTTTTTGGACAACGTTGGTGGCTTGCCTTCTTCAAGGATATTTTTGGACTCCAGCCTAATTTGCAATCTGGGATTCCCTAGAGGTCTCCCAAATATTGACTAGATCCAAAACAAGTTCCACTTAGTTTCTAAACCCAGAAATGACTGATGGAGTTTCATTATCTATTTTTGCCTATGCTGGCCATAGGACGAAAAAAAAATCTGGCTACTGGTAGTACATCTGACCTCTAAACATGCCCTAGACATTACTTAACACTATCAAGTTTCTGTTTATAGCAATAAAAGCCAAACATTTGCTTTATAGGAAAAAAAGGGTGTACAAACTGATTTTTCTAACTGTTATCTCCTATGTTTATTGAAATAATTTAAATCAGCCGTCCCAATTTATGCTCTACGTGCAACAGGATAGTCTGAGCCAAAAGTCATGTGGTGAACAAGAGTTTTTCTGTAAACATGTTGAGCTGTATCATATTGAGGAAGGCTGGTATAAAACAAGAATAAAAAGTTGTCTGGAACTGCTTTCATATGCACACGATAAGAATGTTGTATTGCTCAAGATTCAGACTTCAGCATCTCATGTTTGGTATTTTAAGGAGGATTCTGATCTTAATGGGAAGGGAAAGCCAGCATCTTCTTGTCACTAGAATCAATAGGAACTGCCCAATATACTTACGTCAGAAGTAAGGGACCAATGCTTCTCTGCCTTAGTGTTTCAGAAATAAAATTCCCATAGTTCATTTAGCACAAATTCCATCTCCTTAGGAATTGCTGGAAAACTAAACAGTAAATAAAATTAAATAATTTGACCTGCAATCTTGGAAGTTAAATGATTATTGGCAGAAGGGGACAATATTCTGTGAAAATTCTCATTCTATTAATGTTGTTCCAGTAGCAGGGTTAGGTATTCAGTTCCATGTTGAATCTATGACCTTGCCATCATTCTGCAGATAAACCTGCAGCTAATACGTGTTTTTTTCAAGAAGTGTTGCTCCAGAAAACTGGAAGAATTGAAAAAAGTATCCGAGTAGTGATCCTTGACCCTAACCCTAATCCATGAAGCAGGACATGATGGTGCTGAGATCAATCAGATAGAAAGTAGAAAAATGTTTCAAACTTTGCTGAAGGAACAGCAATCTTAAAGGATGCTTCTAGATAGCTAGACTTCTATAATTGGTTCTGGTTGTAGTGTCCGATCTCTCCAGATAATTTTAGCTTGCTTCTCATTTCATTTTTATATCAGTGGCTTTGTGTGTGTCAGTTGGATGATGGTTCCTGAAACCTAGCAAAAGTAGATTTATATTTGGTTCATCCAGTCTTGTTATTTCAAGCAGGTTGAAGTAAATGAGTCCATTATGCTCTTCCAGTAAGTGGTATCTTTGTGGCTAATAGGTTTTGGTCAACCTTGGTTAATTAATGTGTTCAGATTGAGCACTGCCATATTTTGGGTAGTTAAATCCAGCTTTTTTTCCAGTTTTGGCTTTTCTTTGGCATCTTTTTAAATATGCACATTTATACCCTTGAAATGGCATATTTGCATTTTCCCTTCTGCCTCACAGGTGTAAATGCTGTAAAATGTTCGCATGGCACAAACTCTTCTGTTTTGGCTTTTTCTTCCACAAGCTTCTGACAGAGACCTATGTTTTATAATTCTCCCAACTTGCTGAAGATGACGTAGTAGTAGGAATTATTTAGCCTCTTGAGAGCAATATAGGATGGCATCTTGCACACGGCTGGTGGTGATAAAGTAACATCTCAGATCTAGTAGTATAGTATGGTATAGTTCTGTGAGTAACACGCTTGTGTGTGAAGTCCTAATAACAGCTTTTGTGCAATAAAGCAAACTTGAGAAGTTTTGTAGAATATGTTGTATCCAAATTTTTTTACAATCTATAGGGTTTATACCAAACTTGAGATATTTAAGTATCTGATCTGGCAATGTTTTGCCCAGCTATTTAAAGACTTATATGCATGCCTTGATAGAAAGCAATTCCTGTTCTTGCAGTATTTTTGGGGGTGGGGGGTGGGGGAGCATCTTTTCCAGAGGAAAAAAATCTATTTGTCTCCCAACACTAATGCATTTTCTCGCTTTAAATTCCTGCTTCCTACCCATTCTTAGTTCTAATGTTTATACTTGACTTTTTATTTCCATTAGAACACAATCCAGCAAACTCTTTGCTTTGCAGCTTCTATTAATTTCAACCTGATTTGACCTGATGACACAGCTAGGAGTGGTGTAGTCAATGGGTTTAATGGATTTTGCTTATTAAACCAGCTGAGTACTTGTGATATAATAGGACCTGAGGTGGTCATATCAGTATCAATGGATTTTTTTTAAAAAAATATCCTTATTATATTGTTTTATTTAATTCATCCACTAAGTTCATTTGAACTTAGCAGTATGCTGCTTCTGTATTCCACCCAGTCATAAAAACACTCATTATTTCTTATTTATTGGCAAGCAAACATTTTTTGTGTCGGCTACAGTGAATCTGCCCACCATTAATTAAACAACTTGTTCCTATTTTTTATGCCAAAATGAAATTAATCAGAGAGGGTCAACTATTTTAAAAGAGAATGCAAATGATAGCATATCTATCTTGGTTTTTTTTTTTTTTTTACATAGACATATAATGTTTACATCTTTTTCTTTGCCGCAGATCTGGATTTGAAAAAAAATATTTTTCTCTACTGATTTTTAAAATCTTGATTTTTTTCTTTTTTAAATAAAAAATAGTTAGACATGGTAAGGGTTAATAATTTCTCCCCTTCCCTTTGTATAATTTTTCAATGAATTGTCTTGGTGCTTCATTTTGGTTCTCATTGTTGTTCTGCTCAAATCTGCACGAATATCTATTCTGTTTAGAAATGGTTTACTAGTCTCAGTTTCATGTTCTTTTCATTCATGAGAATTGTTTTCTTTGTGGGGGAAGGGTGTTCATTAAGCCATAAGTATCTATCTGTGCAATAAACACTAGGCGAGTGCTTTCAGAAAAGGTTGGGATATCAGTTATAATGTGCTTTGCAGGCAAAATTTTCCAGGGCTTTTCTAAGTAGGGCTGCCTCAATTGCTGAATGAAACAGACTTATCACTTTCTGTTTCTCCAAAAAACAGAATATGATCCTATGATCACGTTCAACATTCCATTTAGATGGCATTTTTGCATATCAGTATAATCCTAGTGCGTGTTTTATTCCAATTTATTAAAAATCCATTCTGCAGGCAGAAAGATCTAAAATAGGCAAGCAGAATATGATTTAATTTCCACAGCAAGAGTAAAAACGATGGCCTCCCATTACATCCATTGATTTGCGTGAATTGGTGTTTGTTTTTTTTAATTGACAACAAAGAATGTTGATATGATTCCATATCCAGGCTGATGGAATAGATTGTCTAACGCTGTTCTTGGCATACACAAAGGGAAAGAATATCATGGCAAAAAAAAAAAAAACCCAACGGGAAATCTGCAAGAACACCAAATTGTATACGTATATGCATATTTTCTAATTATAGAAAACAAAGCCAGAAGAACTGAAGGAAGTAAGCGTTTTTATGTCTTTCTCTGCAAATCTCATGAGATTAATAAATACCATAAAGATTAGGAGAAATTGGGGAGGGGTGGGAGAAGCACTAAAACTTACTATCTATGGAAGGGGTAGGGGATACATAAAATGTACAGAGAAATGGTTTCTAAAAATGAACTTTCAATCTTCTTCAAATTATAAGATAGAACAAGAACATTCTCTCACAGTAAAAGACTATTTTTCTGTCCTAAAAAGGATTCTGCTTCCTTCCCACTCTTGAATTTTAATACTGTTCTGATTCTTTTGTGGCTGTTTTGACGTAGGAAAACCAGAATTATGTGTTGAAAATAGACATTTGGTCTGTCTCAGTGAGCAGATAAATGCTGTGCATGTGTATAGATTCTACTGTGTAGTCCCAATAAATATTGGTAAGAAAAAGTGCATCTTCATTAGCACAGTAAATTGATGGTATAAAATGAAAGAATGCTTTAGGATCAAAGGGCCCGATTCTTTCTTTGTTTATATGACTGTGGTCTTAAATGCATTCACCTTAGATGTACAGTATGTACACCAGTGTTAAAATTGGTAGAAAAAAAATGTTTCAGTGATTTTATTTTTCCCATCACATATATAAATCCATAGAGATCTTTATTTTTTCTTTCCACACATCCAAAAGTTTTGAATTTCTTTTTCCCCAACACAGGGTGAAATAAGTTTGGATAGGAGTGATTAAATTGGGAGCCCTTTTCTGAATGTCTGTGTAAGATCTCTCATTGGCAGAGAAGCTTGCCGGGGAGGTCATCTTATTCCTTTTCTTGTAATGCAGGCCTACAATATTTGCACTAAAATTAACAAAAATAATGGTATGGAGGTGGTTTAAAGAAAGGTTGCTGCTATGAAAGAAAGAACTTAAAAGAATGGCCGTGCTTTTACAGATTTTAATGTACCATTTTGTAAAATGAAATCAGTCTAGATGGAAAAGAATGAAGGTTTTATATGTATGTGTGTGTATAAAATTATAATTATTATTTTTTACTTTCTCTTGCTGTTCATTTCCACATCCCACTTGATTCTCTTCTGTGTTCTTTCATTGCTACTTTTGTGATTGTGTTCATTAACCCCATCCCCAAGTTTAAACACTTGTAAATGATGCTTTCATGGCACTGCGGACACCTTTTTTTTTGTTTGTACAGTGAGAGCTAACTGGAGTTCTTCTCTCTCTTCAGTTGAATTCATTAAAAAAATTCTTTGTTATGACCAACTGAATGTTTACATTTTCCTTCTCTCAAGAATGGCGAAGGTTGCCACTTGCTTCTTGGCGTGGTGATTCAGAGGGCAGCTTTCGTCAGAAGAAAAGGAGTCTCTGAAATTCAGGATTTGGGATGATTTGGGAAATGCTAGGTGCACACGCTCTTATGTATGACAACTTTTCACAAATATTTCTCTCTTTCTGTGCAGAACAGACAAAGAATATTAAAAAAAGATACTGGCCTCATAAACAAAAATAGTTCCTCTCAATTCCAGGATTGAACACCTATGTTCATGTGCACTCATACATACACACGTCCATGACAATTGGAAGAATGCAGGACTACTATTTAAAAAAAAAAAGCTTAGTAATGACTCTCATGAAATTCACTTTTGATACTAAGTGCTGCTGCTGTGCCTGGCATATGACTGACGTCAGAAACAGGAGCAGCAGGCCACAGAACACAGTGTTGCTACTAAAGTTTTAAAATGCAGTAAGCACTTTGTTTTGGTCCCTATTAAAAATACTTCTCAAAACTCCTTCAGAGGATGTCTGCGTGCCGTGTAGATGCTATATTCTGTTCTGGCTTCATTCCAGATGAAGCAGAAATTGATGCCATTTCTAGCCCAATTGTTTTTGACCATTTTGGTAATACAGGAAACAAAATTGTCTATATACTTAGCCAGTTGCTTGATACTGAATCAAGCAAGCTATTTATTTAATATTGTCTGGCAGAAAGCTGTGCAACTTTTACTTGCTCTTTTTAAAAAACAACACTGAAAGAAATAATCAAACTTAGTCATACATCCCTTGCCAAATGCAGCATTCTCAGCTAACAGTAGGGATGTATCGGTTAGATTTGTGACACCTTTTAAGTGCAATCAAAGTTTTGCCCTGCAAGGCAAGCTAGGATTTCTAATCTAAGGACTACTTTATTACTTATATATACCAACTAGAAGGCATATGCAATCTATAGCCCCTTGGAATTTAGGGGAATAAACACTGTCAGTTATTCCTGGATTCACCGATGTATATACCAAGTGCTGCACTTAGAAATCGTATTTGTCCACAAGGTTCTTTTCAAATAGTGTCAAATTATTTTTCTTTAAAGATTATAAAATTTATCTGCACAATTCCTACCTAAGTTGTTTTTCAGCTTCAACACACAGCCTCACACACAAACTGGCATCTCGGCGCAGTTGCTATAATTTGAATCTGAAGGCTGAAATTATGTGGCAAACCTCAACTCCCTTTCTCTGAGAAACTGAGTTAATCCATCACTCTTTTCCTTCTCACAGGAATTTGTTATTTTGGTCCCTTCTTTTCTTCCTCTTTTTAATATCCCAAATAAATATGATAAAAGCTTTTTCCTTAGCAGTTTGCTTTCGGAAAGTGCTTATATTAATACTATTAATGTGGGATGTCCACATTAAAGATAAAATGATTTTATAGTTCCTGTTTGATGATTTTAAGTGTCTAGAGCTAAGTGACTAAGAGTTTGGGGAAAAGCACATCTGAATGTTTTTTAAACTATTCACACAAAACTTACTTTTTTGAAGGAGAATTGTAGCTTAAAACCTGTTATAGAAGATAAAAATAGGGCCAACCAAAGTGTATCAGGCACTCTACAACATTTCAAGATGTTTTGAATTTTAGGGTTTAGATTTTTGTCTTAAAGGTGAATATTCAGTATACAATTTTAAAAGTTTTTAAAAACATGATTGGACCAACATTTTTATGACAATCTTATTACCTTATTTGTACAACTGAATTTTTGAATAATTCCTTGGATGATGCCAGCTTTCTCTGATGGAGCTTCTCAATTATTATATCTAATGGATGTTACTGTAATTAATTGTCTCAATTAGAAAGACAATACAATTCTAATATAAATAGTAAAAATGGCCTTCATTTGACTGAATATTAAAAATCCAGTAAACTATTAAGAAAACTATCTCAAAACTTGCTTTCAACACCTGTATAATTTATCACACCAATTAGTTATTAGTGAATCAAATATTTGAGATCATTTTGAACATTGCTTGGCAACGTTCACCAGCAGTTCACTGTGTCAGCTGCTCCTTCAATTAACTAGTTTACCCCTTGAAAAGGATAATGGATCAGGAGGCAGATAACAAGGATTAGGTGATTTCTTAGTCTGTCTTTAAAGGACATTGCAAAGCAATCAAGGTGCTCACCACTGCAGTTGGAGTCAGAAATCCAACCTCCATTTCCTTTCTGCCCATTTTCCATAATTCAATCAGTTTTAAAAAAGAGATAAAGATGGAATGCCTTGAAAAGTAAACAATTTTCCAGGGCTTATCCAGTGTGGTGTTTCTCTTTTGGGAGTAAGAGGAGAGAGCTAATAACCCATCCAACCCTGTTTAGACAACACAGTTGTTCAACAAATTGGGAAAGAGTTTCAGGGTCAGCACTATTTAGGTCCTGAGATATTGAATAAGTATTGTGAGAAAATGCATGTAACGCACATTGAAATCTCTCAGTTTCTGGTTCTTTAGCTGTTGGTGACAAACTGATCTATGTCAAGTCACTGGCATTAACTAGCTGGTTTATGGCGCTTATACACTAAGCTCCAGTTAAGAGTGTCCTGTAACCAGGTCACTGTCAACATTAGTAATTGCTACAAAACACTACATAGGGACAACATTCTAGAGCACAGAGTTAAAAAAAATAAAAACAAAGGAGGTGCTTGTCAGCAGGATTACTCCAGCTATAGTTTTCACTCTTGAAAATAGGGCAACAGCCATGGAAGCTCCACACCCATTTGGCCTGATTTCCTGTTTTGAAAGGTACCCAAGTCTACTCCCTCAAAGTGGAGATATTAAAAAACCTATAATAGATGCCTTCTCTCTCTTGCAATCCTTTCATAACAAGTCAGGGAAATTAATGTGGAAACACAATATAGTCTGATCATTTCTTTGCTCAACTATGAGTGTAATATATATAACTATGAGTAATCTCTCTCTCGATAGATAGATAGATAGATTGATAGATGATAGATAGATAGATAGATAGATATAGATATTTGCTGATACTCAGTAGATACAGATAGTCCTTGACTTACGACCACAATTGAGCCCAAAATTTCTGTTGCTAAGTGAGACGTTTAGTGAGTTTTACAAACTTGCTTGCCACAGTTATTAGGTGAATCACACCAATTGTTAACTTAGTGAAACGGTTAAGTAAATCTGCCCCCCCCCCCACCCGACTTTGCTTGTCAGATGGTCGCAAAAGGTGATCACAACCCCAGGACACTGCAACCTTCGTAAATAAATGTCAGTTGCCAAGTGTCCAAATTTTGATCGTGTGACCACAGAGATGCTGCAGTGGTAGCAAGTCATTTTTTTTCAGTGCCGTTATAACTTCGACGGTCACTAAATGAATAATTGTAAATCAAGGATTACCGATATGCTATCTGGATGAAGTCACCAGGATGTACTCAAGAGTGGCTACTGTTTGGCTCTATCTCTCTATAGGACTGGCAGAAATACCTTGATTAAATTTAAGTCAAAACACAATTCAAATTAAGGTATTAATGTTAGGTGAAGCAGCCTCAATGCTTCTGAATGAATGGTGTCGGATGGAAAACATGTATTGGAAATTGCAGACTTTCTCATCATGAAATCATACAATGGTTTATTATAACAACATCTTCCATAATTCAAAGAACAAATCAGAGAACAAGCATGTTGATGCAAAGTTTGAATTTGATAGTTACTCAGTGGAGACAAATCTAAATAACAGATAATGATGTTACCATTATTACTAAACTAAAATTACATTAAAATTTTGCTTTTATTCCAGTAACTTTAGGGTAATATCAAATATTAATCAAAATTCTTAAACTTATTTAGAATGAGAGGGACTTCCCTAAGTTGCTCTATGACCTCCCACGTGAATAGACACTTGAATTTTGATCTCAGCAATCTCACTGTGAACATGCGATTTCGTAAGTACTACTCTCATTATCATACAGGCATTAACATCACATATATAAGGCATATATTAAAAGAGAAGGTCAAAGCATAAGACAGATCCTGAAGAAAATGGAAAAACAACATCAAAGACATGCAAAAGTAGCATCAAATAATAATAGTTGAGGCCATGAGAAGTTCAAGAACCAAAACTTTGTATTTCCCTCAACACCCAAAGTGGTAAAAGAGGGGAAGAAAACAAGGAAAGAGCGGGGAGGAGGAGGAGGAGAAGGAAGGAGAATGAGAAGAACACACACCTTATTCAACCAAGATTTATTTTACCCACATTTTTGGAACAGTTAAGTCCTAACCCATGATTTACAAATGATCGTGGACAGTGACAAATGACATATGAGGTTAGGCCAAATTCAAACAGCATTGGGCCACAGCAGGATGTTTAAACACTTGCACTGTAGAAGAACAAATGGCACTCGAAAAATGTTACAAAGCAATCCATACTGAGGGAAATGAATGCAGTCCTCAAATAATCAGCTTTTGGAGTCAATTCTATGACATTCCTCTTGGTTGACCTTCTCCAAACAGATGTCTTCCAGGTATATAGGACTATAACTCCAAGAATTTCCAGCTATAGGCCACATTTTCTAGGAGTTTGGAGGCATGTGGTATGGATCACTGAAGGGAGGATCAAAAAAGTCAAAATGGCAATCTCAATTATGGATATAAAGTTCCACATAAAAAGGGGTAGGGCTTCAGACACAGGGTGATGACTGCCATTTTATCTGTTTGGAACACTCCTAGACAATCCTGAATGTGGGCCAACACCAGGTTAGGGCGGGTTGTTTTAAATGTTTCCTTCCTGGTCTGGAATGTTCCTCCATATCTGGACATACCTATCAATAGTTAAGAAACAGAAACAGTAATATAGAAAAACAGAAATAGGGATGTGATTGCCTCAGTATCTTACAAACCACAGTATATAAAACTTTGCTCTTCATTTTCTCTTCCCCTCACCACATGTTCTGTCTCTTGAGCTTAAAAGGAATAGTTTTCATACAA